TTTCCTAAAAAAGTTCTCCATCAGTTTTTTTTTCGTTTTACTATGCTTGTTCATTTCAAAACCATTCCATTCACTAGAAAATAGTTACACCTAAAATCAGTTTACATTAGTATGAAAAAGGTAAAATCTTATTTCTTTAGTTGCATATGCATATAGGCTTTTGCAGGAATATTGTTAAGGAAACTAAAGAAGAATAAAACTTTCCAGAACAAAATTGAAAAGGTTTCACCAATAGAGCGTAGCACACAAATAAATCTAAGCCTCGTTGGCAGACTTTTGACTTTTGTTTATGGAACGCCCAATGGTATTTCAAAGAATTATGGAATTGTTGAATGGGCCATCAGCGATGAAGCTGTAAAACAATTCTGTGGAAGCCGATCCTATAAACAATGCCCTCGGCTATCATTAAAATAATTCACCAATGAGTCTCAGAATTAATTATTGGTAAACTAAAAGCCTCATTGTCATTGGGATTTTTGATACAGTTGTTTAGCCTAAATAATGGATGCTTTGTTGCAATTTAACTGATGGTTTTACTCATTATCGAAAGATTTATAAATCATTTTGTTGGAGGATTAATAAAAAGTTTAAAATTAATCGTGACTTTTTGATATTACTTTTTTTAATATAATTACAGGACGATCAAGCTCCTACTCATTCATTGTATTCGCTCTTTTTTATGTCGGTTAATTTATGTTCAGGGAGTTTCAGAACGTGTTACCATTTTAAATCGTCGAGTATTCAAAATCGTTGGATGTTTTTATGAATGATTTTTCAACGATTATCATTATGTATGTGGAATACTGAGCAAGTCCTGTCAAATAAATTTAATCGTTTAACGCTTTCTTTTGATTAAAGTATACAATTTTTACCTAAATTTTAACTTCTTACCAAAGCGTTTTTAAATGTTCTGAGGAAAATAAGTAAGTATTATTAATTTACAACTAAACTATTTACGTCTCTGGCCTTTGTAGAAATAATCTGCGTGGTTAGAAAATACGTTTACTTAGAAAACGGAAATTTCGCACACAACCTTGTGCAGAGAATATTCAAGCTTAGTTTCCGTCTCCCTTTTAAGTTGCCTCAGGCCCAATGAATATTCATATTATGCGTTTAGATTGTTATTCGTTGTTGCTTACTTTGTGAACAATTAAACTTCGTAGCTGAGTTTATTTTGTTTTAAATTCGACCTTTACATAATCGTGACCTTCAAAACGAGCGTAGGTTGGATTCGTCTTATGAAACTCTACAAGCTTTGTAGTTTAAATTTCCTCTCTTCACATAAAGTGGTCTTAAAGCTAGTATTTCAGCATACTTTATATTTTAGATAAAAATAAAAGCCAGTTTATAAATTACAAAAATATTTATTTAAAATCCTTCCATTAATAATCTCATATAATGTTTTAACAGAATCCTGAAACTGAACCATTAAAAGATTTCTTTTCAAGAGAAAACAATGTTACACTTCTCTTCAATGAGATCTTTCAGATTTTAATAGATGATTGTGATTTAGAAATATTTTTATTTTGACACAATCTGAAAATCCACTTAATTAACCTAAATTAAAAGGAACTTTTTGAAATTCAAAGTCCAACATCTGAAAAATCCAGATTTAACATTCCACTTTTTTGTCACACTCGTCGTTCCAATTCGTCATCGCTATCTCCTATCTGGAAGATGAACACCCGATTGTTCGTTTGACCCGTGTTATCAGTTGACCTTGACCTCCTCCCTGTTATCAGTTTAGAGCACTGACAGTAGGTGGAGGAGGCAGAGCTTGAGGAGGTTCTGCTGTCACGTCGAGGACCTTCTGTCATGCAAGTGTGGCTAGAGTCCGTAGCGCTCGGCCTCTTGTTGGATAATGACGTCACACCTGGAATGTGCATGCGTGTGAGAACGAAAACAAAACTGTGAGCAGTAAAATAAAAGAGCAAACAATCAAAATGTGTGGTGAAAATAAAAAAAGTGTATGATAACATAGACAAAAATAATTTAATATAGACCGTCAGCTGTGCTGCGGTTACCATAGGTTCTGGCACACACCGCTGGGAACGCTATGTAGTTACGGCCTACGCACTACGTAACTACACAGCGCTCCCAGCGGTGTGCGCCAGAACCTATGGTAACCACAGCACGGCTGTCAATCTATATTTAATTCTTTTGTCTATGATGATAATCATCTTTTAGGGTGGTTAAATTTTGAATCCACGGGTCGTTCGTTAAAAAGTGATGTTACACTTAATATGTAAAAGGGTGTGAGAATGAACAAAACAATGGGAAATAAAATAAAAACTGTAACAAAAAAAATGATACTAGAAACAAAATGTGCAATGAAAATGAACAGAATCGGTTTGTAAATAAGTCCGGGTGAAGCATAATTTGTTTGGTTTGGGTTTTGACTTTGACTAGTGAAATTATGCTGCTTATGTGCTTCACGGGGGTATCGTGTAGATTTTGCTGTTGTCTACCAAATCTTTATATTTTTCAGGCTAAATTGTATTACTTTTGCCATATTGTTTTTTTTTGTACTAGAGGTCGAGATATTTTTATAAAACCTTAGTTAACTAACGTTAAACGAACAATTAAAAAGTGCCATTCACACGAACATACAGGACCTTAAGATTGCCTTCGTCTGATACTTCGATGACAACTCTATAAGAAAGTATATATTAGTGACCACCTTCATAAAAAAACTGATCTTTTGAAAGTTTTTATTAATTTTTCACCATCAAACTATCAAGAACCTCTAACTCAGAGTGCAATACTGGTCTTGTGTGATGTAATAGTCAGAAGGTCAATTTGCTACTCTCAGGTCTCAACTAGGCTAATTAGATATAATCATCTCACGTCCCCTGTCTGTTTGCTGTGCGTCTGTTGAACATATGTTCTTAACATTTTTGTAACAAGTGAAGAATATTTCATTTGATTTTGAACAAGGTTCTTTTGAATTATTTGTTCTTGAAAGATACCACAACTGACTGTAACTGTAAACTACTAATTATGAAAGCTGGTGGTTTCGAACCGAGCCTCCTTTAAATCAAGGTGATCGGAAATAAATGAATTGTATGATTTAATTAATGGGAATTCTATTGGTTGGTTATAAACAACACTGGAATTACTCCCCCTTCTTAGTGCAATTGCCCATTGGGTTCGATTTATATATTTAGTAAAAAAAATCATTTCTTGAAGAAATTACAAAAACTCATATAGCCTCAATATTAAAGTATGAAACCTTTATTAAGAAAACTCTACACAATTTAATTAACATATTTTTGGATAATTAAAAATTTAGCAAATTCTAACAAGAATTAATTAATGAACACTTAATGACGTGTATAAAAGTAGACTTTTATATTTTACACGTTAGTCAACTTAAAACAATTATTTTATAATGTTAGCCTGTTGACGTTGAATGTGCCGAGGGAAAATGACAATGTTCAAGAGGGCTTGGCTTTAATTAGATTCACTTTAATAACGTAATATGGGAATCAGGTCAATGTTATTAAAGACTCAAGTAGAAATGTGGTTTGAACTAATTGATATTCAAGCTTTAAAGCTCTCTTGGTTATTCTGGTATAGCCTTAAGCAATTTAAATGGTCATTTGCTTTGTAGTAATAAAGCTTCTATTTTAGAATGAGCCTTTAAGTTGGGTTATTATTGGAAATATATTTTATCATGTGGTTAATATATGAGATTAATACCGGTATTTCAGTTAAGATTTGGCTTGAGAAGGTTTCACTTCTTTAATAAACTATATTTTCTGTTAAATCATTAACTGAATAAGTTATATTTATGATTTTGACAAAGTTATTCTTTGCTATTAAAATTTAGTTCAGTTAGTTTTTAATATTTAGACGCAACAAAGTTTACATCTATTCTTATATGAATATTTGTTCCTAAATTGTCCTACTAAGAAATTATCTGTTGATTTCCGAACGATGTCGGTTGGATTTTGTCTTATAATCATTAATTATATTCTCTTGGATATGGAGGAAGACATAAAATAAGATGGAATTTAGCTATTCTAATGAATTTATCTTTAATTACTGAAAGTAAGCTATGGAATTTCAAATTTGAATAACTCGTTTGAAAATGTATTTCATATTTAATAGGACTGTTAATAAGTTTTTGACTACCTATGAACAAATATTTATTTTGGATTTTATGTGTTACTTTGAAAATCATATAGGCTGAATTTAGTCACAGAGGCATTCAGTTAATATTCTTGGATTAGTAGAAATACACAAGAGGATATGGAAAGTAGCTATGCGAATGGAGTGATCTTAATTTACTGAAAGAAAGCTACGGTGTTTAAAATTTTAATTAGTTCCAACATTTTATTTCTACAACAATTCTACTGATTAATATACGATACAATGGCAAGATTTTCCGATGACAAAAAGTTCCATTGTCAAGATCTTCCGAAATTATGATGTTACGGCCAATTGCTTTTTTTCTCTGAGTGGAAGGAGGAAGAGGTCGCTTCAACTTCAGAACTCTTCGTCAACGGTGATTTTCGGGGTTTACTGTCCAAGACAAACCTACTGGTTTTTGTAGAGATAGTCAACGATTCATACAACTGAAACCAATAGGGTTGTCTCAGTCAATGAGCTCTTGCCATCGGAAGAACTTAGTGCATACCAAATACATCTTTGGCATGGAAGTCCTTAAAATGTATGTGAAAACTACAAGCGCAATACGCATCACTATTGTGCATTTAAGAGTTTCTTCTGCAACGTATTCATACATGGCCTCCTCTAACGCGCCGCTGCGAGACAAAAGTGGCAACGCCGCATACCTATCGAGAGCTGTAGCACTATGGAGTGTGTAGGCCGGCGGTGCGACGTTGCCACATCGTCCGCCACGTCGTGTCACAGGCTACTCAGATCATGCCATTCGCACATGAGTTATGTACAGTGGACCTACTTGACCGTTAGGACGTTACGGTGGGTGACGGTTCATGCGTTACGTGACGGTCATGTGATGTGATGTGGCTGACCTGTGACCTGCGTGGTGTCCTGGCGTTTGCGCATGCGCGGACAGAACAGAGAGATGAGCGCTCTCCTGAAGTTCTGGCCGGACACGCAGTAGAGAGCGAAGTTGATGCCGAAGTTGGTGTTGAAGAGGAGGTTGAAGTAGTGCTGAAGTATCACTATTTCGCTCACCGTCTCTGTCTGTATAGCCTGGAACATGAAAGAGGTTTGAATGTTTGTGTTTGAACGGGAGTTGTAGGTTGTTTATTTTTGTTTTTGGGTTGTTTGAACTTAAGTGTTGAACCTTTGTGGAACAGAAGTTGACGTAGTGAGGTAGTATCAAGTATTTAACTTTCTTTTTTACCTGTATAGTTTTTTGAAGGAGTTGAACTGGATGGGGATATATTGTTGATTTTGTATGCATTGGAAATATGGTAAATTGATTGTTAATATCGAAGTTTGCATTGGACCACAGTATTGAGTGTTGACGTAGAAATAGGTATCTAAGGGATGGCGAACTGAGTCTTAATTGTAGTGCTTAACAATGTGTTGGATGTTTAAGTTACTTTTGGACAAAAGTTGGATTGAGTGTTGATTACGTTGAACAGCAGACTGATCAAGTGTGGATTTATAAGTGTGTATAATAACTAGTTGATAGGGATTTCTGCAAGGTTTGTGTCCAACCTGTTGATTAAGTGGTAATGTTGATGCTTTTACTTTTAATACTTTTAATACTTGTGTTGAGCAGATTTATTAAGTGCCGATGTTGAACGTGGTGTTGAAAAAGAAGTTGAGTGTTGATGTAAAAGTTTCTGTTAAACAGCATTTTGATTGAGTGTTTAGCTTTGAAGTTTGTGTAGAACAGCATGTTCGAGTGTTTATGTTAATGATTGTGGTGGACAGCAGGTCGAAGTAGCACTAAACACGTTATCAAGCAAAAACAAACTGAAAATTATCCACAAAGATCCTTACACTACCAATTAAATTAAAGGTTTTCAGAATTTGAAAATTGGGTAAGGGGCCCTGAAAAACGTATTTTTAATTACGAGATCACTTAAATTCGTACAGTGCAGTAATAATAAATAATTCAGTCCACAGTTAAAAGGTGTCAAAAGATATCATAATAATTGTAAACCAGCTATTTTTAATACACTTCGAAAAACTTTAAACGATCAATATTTTAACCATCTTTATCAATCATATCATTTAAACTCACCTTAAAATTCCAACGCCTTGTTAAAACTTTGATTCGATAAAGGCTTAAATTATATCACCGACATCTTACCATTACAACGGACTGTCACTAAACCATTAACAAAAGCGAGTTTCAGTTCGAAGACGCGCCTAATCCGATACAGCTGACGTTTCAACATTGATATTCGCCGATTGAGCGCGTTTATATTCATTTCAACTTTCATTAATTGCCTTCAAACGCTTTCAATTCTCTGCCTCCCTTTCGTTACGGAGACAGTTATGATTTATTGTATCTTTTTTGTGAGTTTGAAAGATCTTTTCGAGGATTCTGTCGTCAATCAAGTTTTTTGTGACAACCTATTCTTTTCGAAGTAAAGGTAGTAATGGTTGACAGATTTAATGAGATTAAAAAATATTTTCGATGGGTTGACCAAGATCTTTTTTCAGTTAGGGTAGATCATGTTTGACCTTTTTTCACAACCTGATATTGTTAGTAAAATTCTTTTATCACTAATTGTAAAAATAAAAAAATTGATTAAGTCATTTTTCAACCTAGCTACGTAATAGTGCAGCTTAATATCGGTGCAGTTGTCTAAAAAATCGGTTAACTAACTGTGGAAAATGTATGCAAACAAATTAGCAAGCGAGTTTATTAAACTAGCCAAATGGACTGAAAGTAGCCATTCACTTGACAATAATTACATTTAATGTTCTGTAAACGCCGCTGTAGAACATGCATCTAGTTTCTTTTCGGTTGTTTGAAGAATTTCAGTAGCAATTATAGACATTACAGTTTCAAACGATCATCCTAGTACGATATATGGAGTTATCAAGGTCGAGACGGATTTTAACTTATTATACTCTCTCTTTTGAGTAAACGTTTTATAGCTTGGTCTTTTCCCCACTATCCACTCATTCAACAGTTTTGTAAGGGAAGGTTAACTTTTTACAGCACCTGGCAAATTATTTGTCAAAGCATTAAGCAAAATAATACCAAGGTTCGTGTCTTCTTGTGTAAAAGCGCATTTAAAAAGGCACATAAATAAAAACAGCCCTTAATCTTGAGTTTTGTCATTGCAAATGTATTGCAAACTAGCTGTGTGCCCGTTCGAATATTTCTAGGAAATGAAATATAAACAACATTAAACGAGATTATTAGATTGTCAGTCAATAAAGTACGCTTGGCCGGAGCTACTTTGTAGGTAATTCGCCGATGAATATATTGATTCTAAGTCATAAAGAAAACTGCTTTATCCTTAATAGAAAATAAATTTGAAAATCTTATTGAAATAGTGTAATAACTAATAATACAAGCTGTTATACAAATTGTGCCGTGACCTATGAATTAATTTAGCAATACCTCTTGTCAGAACATAACCAAACAATATCTGTAGCTCTGAACATAATTATTATTTAAACATTCTGCTGGTTCATAAAATATTTTTTTCTAATATGTCATGTCCAAGCCTGATATTATTTCAGCTTGATGTTATTTCTGATTTGTCGTAGTATATAAAGCCAGTGATATTATTTTCTAATATTAATTTTACTTTACAACTGTCACTTTTTTAGCCACCATGGAAGTATCCTATATCTTATTTGTGAACCTACTTATATACCAGGGACTTGAAAATCTAGATAATACACAGGTTGGGGAGCAAGTGATTAAATAATACCTTTATAATCTTTATTTTATCGAAAGAAACATTCAAAATATGAAAAATGCATTTAAACCCCTAACACGATATAGATTGTTCTCTATATGAAAAGAAATAAGTAATGTGGCTATAATAAAGTATTTCATCAGTTCTTCGGAAACCTTGAAGCAATACAATGAATTTACAATCATTTAAATACATTAGGTAACATTTCGAATAATTCGTTTCGTAATTTAATTTGAATAGTAAACACCTCATACTATCGTAAAATATGAAGCATGTTTTGATGTGTCCCTTGAGCTTGTTCAGTTTGAGTTCGCTTATCAGACTCAATTACCCATGCTTATGGTTTACTCTTAATTAGGGGAATATTTTAGGAATTTTTGCTCATTGGTAAAAACAAGCTTTGTTTATAAATCGATTATTTTATTGGGTTTTAAAATGTTACGTAACAAAAAAAGTTTATAACAAAACGCCTAATCTAAACTGTTAAACCTGAAGCTAACCTTTCAATGATTAGCAGCTAATCCATTAAGATGGTAAATAAAAAATGTTAAATGTATTTTATTTCGTATTATTTTGGCCGTATCGTTTCTTTAATTTCATTGAAATTTGAACCAAATATACTCGGCACCATCCAACTATGATTATGGTAGTTGTGAAAACAATCAGTGTTTCACAATGAGCTTTCCTGAGTTGGAGCTTCATGTAGAAACTCATTTGCCAAATGAGCTTCAAATTATTGACGCAAACAGTAGAGAAGCGTATGTTACGCAGATTAGATTCTCAGACCATGTGTGTACTTAACGTTTTCATTAAACACTACAGTTCCGGGTTTAATCTAGTGTTTATCAATTCCATTATCCAGTAGAGGTTCTGTAGTTAACATGAATGAGATGGGAATAGAAGTTAGTAAAGTTAGTGTTTTGTGCGTTGAAACACTCCCCTCACATAACGTCAGTAGAGGTAAAGAAAGCTTAAACTAAATGATTATTTCCTATAATACTTTTGTTGTATGATAAATAGGTATTTGATTTATAAATTGAATACTGTAAAATAATATGTTTGCACAGTTATACATCAGAATTAATGTTTTAATGGTCTTTTCAATTTCCATTATTAAAATAGACATACTTATTAGTCAATCTAAAACGCATACTGTTAATACATTTCATGTGACATTTTTAGCGAATTTCCCATACAGGGAATAAGCTATTACCGTAGTACTCATGGTAAGACCTGGACCCAGGACCGATTTACTTTTTTCATTTTGAGGTCCCTAGAGGAAGTACTTGTTAAACTAATGCTATTTAAATAGGGAGTAAATGTGATATTTTAAAGGACATATTTTAGTGTAAATCCAATCAGGTCTGCAGATTCGCTGCGGCGGGGATATTTATTAATGTTTTCCATTAAGCAGAACTATGATTTGATAGGTTTTATATTTTTGTAGATTTGTATATTTTTTTCATTTTTTCTTTGCTGAGCCTCTTTTCCCAACTTTCTGATTATCAAGAGGGTTTATTTAATACCATTTCTGTTATGTGACGATGTCAATATAATACAATTATTGAGATATTAGTTATGTGTATGTAAATAATAATCGTACCTAATCGATGTTGCGTTTCTGGGATCGTATTTATGCCCAGCCATTTTTGAACTACTTACATATTTTATATAATTTCCTTTTTTAATGTTAATAATTCGCTGAAATTAGTAAATTGAATATCAATTTTATTTTTAGCTATTCTAAAATAAATCAATTGTTTCAAAAAATAGTTTGATCTTGTTTTGTATAGAAAATGTTTTAAAGGTTCTGTAAATGGATACTAATCAACTATATTAAATATCGTCGAATGAAAAGCGCAATATTGTGTTCTTTTTTGTTAAATATGTCGAAGTTAATTCAATCCATTAATTGAAATGCCATCAAGCTGTGATTATACTGTATCGTATAATTTTACGAATCGAAACTTCACATAAGTTTTTGTTACGAAAAGTTGTAAAAGGTTAATGTAGGGAGTAAACTGCACGAGTAAATTAAAACATTTTAGCTTTTCGAGATGAAAACAGGTCAAAACTGTAACTTAAACTTTGTGAAAGCGCAGCAATGATAAGACTGCACACATAGTTTGTCTGGGAAAGTTTCACAAGTGTAACACTTTTTAAAATGATACCTACTTAAAATAAATATCTTTTTTGTAATGGAAAAATAGATATGAAAAATTAATGAGTGGAAATGAATGGTTATCAATTATTATATAAATGAGTATCATTAATGATGATTTCAAACTTACATCTATAAACAGGCCTAAAACCATCCCTTAAAAATTTTAAAATATTCCGATACTAAAAAAA